GGAGCAGGAGGAGGCGTTATTCATTGCGTTGTGGCACTTGTTGCTGTTGCTGCTGCTGGTCTTCTTGTTGTTGTTGTTGCTGCTGCTGCTGCTGCTGCTGCTGTCGCTCTTGCCGTTGCCGCAGCAGATGCTGATGTTGTTGATGTCGCCGTTGTTGTTGCTGTTGCTGTTGTTGCTGTTGCTGTTGCTGTTGCTAACGAAACCATAATAACCTTTATTTGCTTTACACCGAAACCTTAGGCAGTTACGTACTATACGGGCATTGGCCCAATCTTAACCTCAGCACTCAGGCCTTTGAAGCTTTGCCAAAGCCGTAGAGCCCTATCCACCAAGTATCCTAACTTATGCACTTCTGGTCGGCGCTTCTCCAGGGTTCATGTTCTCGCATCCTTCAAACGGGCTCTTGATAAGCCAAGCCACCCCAGCCAGGAGCTTCATGCGAATGGACTCAGCACCGACGGATGCCAGCACGTTGGAGAAGTTCCCAGGCGAATTCAAACTCCTCAAAGTGTTCAAGCATGCAGAACAAAACCCCAAAACCCTCGGCATCAAACGGCTGGATTTGACAGTGCACACTACATCTGGCCTCCACTGCACACCTCGATGAAAACAAAACCACAGGTGAGAGTCTGGGGTGAAAGCTCCTCGAGTTCGTCGTCGACGTGCGCAGCCAGGTGATAAGACTCCCAGTGCACCCAAGCGAGCACAACTGGAAGGAGCCAAAACAGCACGGTCCCCGTCCTGCGAGGCCTCGCTGCTGCAGCAGGCACCGCAAACAGAGACGACGAGCTGATGGCCGAAGCGCTGCTCATCTTGGATCAGTGTTCGGCCGGCATTACATCATGAAATGGGATATGGATCCTTGGTAAGGACAAACGCGACTGTCGGTCTGTCATGCGCCTTGCTCTGTGTCTGCACATGCAGGCTTCTTGAAAGATGCCTGTCCAGGCGAAAATAGGCCAAGAAGCTGAAACAAATAGATGTCTCAGATGCAGAAGAAGCTTTTCTTGCCCAGCCCCACTGGCGAGCCGACAATGCCTGCAAATTGCCAGTCGCGTATCCTTCCACTTTGTAAGCCGCCTGCATGCAGCGATGTCCTAAAATATCAAAACAACCGAACTAAACCCTAGATTAAGCCTTGGACTCTAGCATCATTTACGAAATGCATCTCTCCGTAGAGTCGAAATTTGTTGGTCCGGGTTAGCTCCGTGCCATCCCGTACACAAGCAGCAACACCTCGTCAACAACCAGGACCGAAACTGTCTGCGGGTAGCAGGTAACAGAAATGCTAATCGTCACGCTCACACTTCCAAGAAGAAGCTGCAGACGAATAACCTAAATTTCGAAAGGATGCGAACCGCAGCCGGAAGCCGGAAATCTGTGGGAAAGGAACGAAGCAGGGTTTTGTGTAGGATACTTTTTGCATTTGAGGCTTGATTTCGGGGTTGCGGGTTCAAGACAGGGACTCTTTGGGCTGGGAGATGCCACAGCAAAGCCTGAGCTACTGTGCCGTGCAACAGGGTTTAGGGTTTAGGGTTAGCTTCTTTCCTGCCGCAGCACCAGCTCCACACATCTCCGCACTATCGCTCTGGAATAGCATTGACCCGAAGGGGTCCAGTACCCAACATGATTAGATGCTTGAGCATAGAGTCAGAGGAATCAAGATCTGGACCCATACGGCGCGGCTGTAGAGCCGAAACGATTCAAAGAGCCCAAAGATGGCAAAGTGTCGCACACACGGCAGCATCTGTGAGTCTAGATATTCCCCTAGAGAGCTGCAAATATGCTACAATTATGCTAATTACATGCCCGGTTTGAGATATCTCGGACCAGCAGCTGTCCGGCTGGAAAAACTGGCGCCGCAATGTCTTCTTCGAGTCCACTGATTATACTGCGACTGAAGCGACACCGGATTTATGTGCCTGCTGGTGCAAATTTCATTGAAACAGCAGCTAACCACGGACCTTAACGACGTTTAACTGCCAGACATATACGTAGGTCAACAGAGAGATACTCAAAACCTACACTGCAACCATTGACACAAGCCGTGTGCCCCATCAACTCCACCAAAGTTGAGAATACAGCCGTAAACCGTCAATCCAACAACCCACGCAACGGAGAAACCCGGAAACAAGGTGCTTTGGCTTACTTTGGTTGGGCTCGTGAGAAATACGGTGCTC